GAGCCCCATTAGTGTCGTATTCTGCATCTGCTTTTACTTCAGAATCCTTGTCACTGTCACTGTCGATGACGATCACAACTGGGGACTGCGAAGTACTGTCTCCATGGTGTTTCTTCTGTTTCTTTTCGTGATGTATGGTGGTATCAGTAGCTTGTCCTTCATAAACTATCTCTGCACTCGGGCTCCGGGCCCTTTTTCTCCTCTTGCGTTTCGTCTCTGCGTCTGACGATAGGCTGTCTGAAAAGCTGTCACTCTCGTTTTTGTAGTTTTCATCCAATTCTGAGGAAGACTTTTGGTAATGACTCTCCTTTACAGCAGATGAAAATTCATGACATGCTTGAGACACTTCATTAGTACCCTCCAAATGCCGTGTTTTGTATTTTCGTTTCCCTCCAGATTTTTCATTTTCCACCTGCCCGGGCGCTGTAGATGAAGTTGTTGACCTGTTACTAGACAGGTTCCTTTCATCGTAGTCATATTTTCTTTGTCTGGGATTGGTTTTCTCCCTGGTATTTTTTCTTACAGAGAAGGACTGAATTCCAGATTCTGGACTTGAAGATTGGCTGGAATAATGAGCACTGGACAGAGTGCTGCTCCCATAAGATGATTCATAGTCATCCCTGTCCCACGTATAGCTGCTTCCATCATCATTTCTGAAATGATAACGATCTCCACTTCTGCTCCGTGACCTCCTTCTGCCGCAGTCACTACTACGACCTCGTGATCTGTTTGTGCTTTCACTACTTAGACATAGAGTTTGGCTGCTGCTGGACAATGTGATATCTCTAGCTCTGGATCTCTTTTTGTCTCTTCTCCCTCTAGGGCTACTTTGCCTACTTCGCCTGCTTCTGAATCTTTTGGTTTTCATTCTTTTCTTCCCAGGATGCTTTCTAGGATTGTTATCAGAGTCACTTGTACTCTGGGACTTTGAACGTGAACTTCTTGATCTTCCCCTTTTCCGATAACTATGCCCATTTGGAGAATATGCTCTGTCTGTGCCCAGAGATGAGCTCAAGACTCTAGCCGATGACGATGTACATGGTTCCTCTTCCTGCTTTGATGAATCAGGATGACCTTCATTTATTTCCTCCTCGGTTGCAAGGAGAGAGAGCGGAGATGAATATCTACAAAGATGACTGTCACCAGAACTGGAAGGTTGGTCTTGTTCCCGGGTCTCCGCTGTCTCCGTTTCCTCCTGACCACTTAAGTCCTCAGAATCGGAAGACAGTTCAACAAGTTCTGGGATCCTCTCAGCTTGTGGTTTAACAAA